CCCCAAAACCCCAAAACCCCAAAACCCCACAGTCCACACTAAAATTGCTATTAACTATCTTTTAATTCCTGGCTTAAGGATCAAGGCAAATATGACAGCCAAACCAGTCATGCACATCAGGATAATAATAGGTGTCTGTCTTGGCTTGATCTCTGCTATTTGTGGAGCGAAAATGTTGATCACTCTTCAAATTAAATTAGTCACTGAAAAGGAGAATGGCACAAAAAGCGGAGGGAAAGTCTCAGGGTTCAAGAAATAAGCAATGGTTATACCCCCTTGAATTGAAAAACGCCCTCCAAATACACACACTGCTATGAGTATTGGATTTGTTGTGAAAAGCAATGGAATAGCTGCTATTAAGCCTATTATTAGGCATAGCAGAATTGTTTTCTTGGATCCAATAAGCTTTTGAACAAATGCTCCAGCATAATTCCCACAGATATCTGAAACAGCTGTTGCGAGACCATTCACAAAGATGTTTCCGCCAACGTATTTCAGAAAGAAGCCTATCAAATAATAATTAAAAGTCACAGATCAGAAAATCGCAATAACACAGATCAAATTGATTAGAGTCCTTCTATTCTTGAGTTCTTCCATGACTGAAAATTCTTTCTGCTGGCCTATATTGAAAAATTGCACCTCCTCGGATTTCTTAACTTTGTCTAAACTTTGCTCATCAAGAATATCTTGGTTGTATTCTACTGAGGAAGATTTTTGGAAGACTGGTTTTTCTAAGGCATAATAAAATTTGAATTTACCTAAAGACAGGTCAGAACTCTCAAAGTCTACTTCTCCTTCAATAATATAATTCTCCATGCTAGTTCCATTGAATCTTGCGATCTACAAATTAGTAGAAAGGATTTACATAAGCTAGGTTTGATCTTAAAGCAGAAAATCTTTTCTTCCCGTATAAAAACTTCGGCGATTCAGGAACGAAGAAGGCTGAAATTGATGAGATCACTGAAAGTCCAACTCCAACTGCAAGGATGTGATACATGTTCTTTCCACCAGAGAGAAAGAATATTGTTATTGGAGGGACTGTCAACATTGCTTCAGCGGAAAGAATTCAACTACTTGCATAAATTCTATATTTCTCAGGCACCATTTCGAGGACAAGAATGTACACTGCAACATTTCTATAAATAAAGAGACCTGCCAAGAAAAGGAAGACATATATCACATACAAATTTCTAGCAAAGAACAACACAAATGCTATTGCTCAAGAAGCCAAAATCCCACTCAGAGCAGTCCATTTTCTTCCAAAGTTGTCAGCTTGTTTCAGTAAAATTCCACTTAGTGCGAATCCAACGAAGACTACTGAGCCTAAAAGACCGATCATGAAGTCACTGTAGCAGAAGAGCTCGAGTTCTGTCATCCAGTTGTGAAAGCTTTTGGAATCAGTGTAGTCTATCCTCCATAAGTCTCTATAGGTAAAATGTGAGGAACACACTTTGGTGCAGACTAGCAGCAAAGCTGATACACCTTACTGATTACGTGAGATTGAAGACAAGAGATATGATAACAGAAGGTGATAGAGCTTACCTATCTATTAATGAGTGATCTTTTCATATTTTTGAAGAGGATCTCAAGGAGCTCAGATCTCCACAAGGCACAAAAGGGTCATTAATGCTGTTTCTTCATTCAAATGCTGGCATTAGCTCAAGGAAAGCAAGAGCAAAGATGAAGTAACTCGTTCCTTGCTTCGCAAGGATTGCATAAACTAGCATTGCCCATCGTAGTCGACCAAAGCCCCCTGCTTTCTGAAGACACTCATCTATTGTCAGCTTTTCCTGGATGCCTGAATCATTTTTAGATTCATTAGTTCTAATCATATTAAATAATTTATCCTCAAAATCTTCACACATTATAGGGGTTTTGGGGTTTTGGGGTTTTGGGG